TGTGTGTGGTGTGTGTGTTGTGTGTGTGTGTTGTGTGTGTGTGTGTGTGTGTGTGTTTTTTTTTTAGGCTTCCACTTCCCTATCTACAGTTTTGTAAATCCTAAAAATTATGCAAAACTAAAAAATTTCTAGGGTGTTTTTGTTTAAATTTTATTTATTTTTATGTGTTTTGCATGTCTGTGTATCTCTTCTGTGACTGGTACCTGATATAACTGGGATTATTATATGACAGTGAGTCACCCTATGGGTGCTGGGAATTAAACCCAGATCTTCTGGAAGAGCCTGTAGTGCTTTTAACCACTGAGCCATCTCTTCCGCCCCAGTTTTTTGTTTTTTTTGTGTAGAACTTCATTTGACAATAAAACAAACCTCATATTGTATTAAATAAACCTGGAATCTATGTGACTTGGTGTCTAGTATGAGGGGGAAGATAGCTGTCTCCATAATCTCTGTACCCATGTTGAGGGAGTCAGGCACTACTTTGAAACATGCAACTGCCAGAGTATAGAACTCAATTCTGTCCCCAACTGTTGATCAGAACTATACACAGCTAACTTAGGAAATAACTGCTGTGTATTCTGCCTTGGCTGTAGGTTGCTTCCCTAGCTTCTGCCCCCAGTAAGAGGGAAGCATCATGTGATAAACAGAATACACAGCATTCTATCTTTCTTTAAAAAAAAAAAAAGCTCTAAATATTCATTCCAGACAATTTGGTTTCAAGTATTTTATAACCATGTATTGAGAACTTGTATGTCAGGTTCTGTTATAATCTCATTGCTTCATTATATGATTTAGTTTTTTGGAAAGCCTATCCAGTAATTACTATCACTGTCTTACTTTAAAAATGAGAAAAATGATTCACAGAGAGGTTTAAGCGACAAGTGCGAAGAAGTCACATAGCCAGAAACTGAAGAACCAGTACTTAAAGAAGGTAGTTTGACTCCAGTGCTGACCTTTTTTAAAAAAGGTTTTTATGTGTGTATGTGTAATATGTGCATACCTGGTGCCTAAGGAGGTCAGAAGAGAGCATCAGATCCCCTGGAATTGGAATTACAAATAGTATATGGGTATTAGGAACCAAACCCCATCTTCTGCAAGAGCAACAGGTCCCCCCCCCTTTTTTAATTTAAATTTCAAACAAGCTTGTTTAACATGTCAATTCCAGTTCCCAAACCCCCCCTTCCTCCCTGTTCCCCCCACCAACCCCCATCCCGTCCCCTTTCTGCTCCGCCCCTGGGAGGGTGAGGCCTTCCTTCCATGGGGAATCTTCAAAGTCTGTCATATCATTTGGAGCAGGGCCCAGGTCCTCCCCCATGTGTCTAGGCTGAGGGAGTATCCCTTAATGTGGAATGGGCTCCCAAAGTAACAGGTACTCTTAACCTCCAACATCTCAGCCCCCAACATCATCATCATTATTATTTTGGTTTTTAATTTAATTTTTTTATTTGTTTTTTGAAACTATGTAACCCTGACTGGCCTGGAACTGTGCAGACCAGGCTGACCTTGAACTCATAGAGATCCATCTGCCTCTACTTCCTGGGTGCTGGGACTAAAAGTGGCTGCTGTTTCTTCTACTTCTTCTAATTAATAGATACCGAGACTGTGTGCCTGTGTCTCTGTGTCTTTACACCTGCCGAGGTGGATGTCTTAGGGAATTGGTTCTCTCCCAGGGATGTGAGTCCCAGGGATTGCACTGAGTTCCTCAGACTTTGCAACAAGTGTCCCCAATGCTACATTCTTACATTTCTATCTACTTCAAATACATATCAGTCAGATGAAGGTTGGGGTGGCTCTAGATATAAGAATACTGTGTGTAGAGGTTGACTGAAGAGAAGATATATTGAGAGGAGCTTAAAGCCAGAAGTCCAAAGCATGGGTGGTCACATGTTGGGGGAGGGGTAGGAGAGGTGGTAAAGGAGGAACCATCAAAGCGGAAGTGGTTAAAGTGCTGTCGAGTTCTCTACGCTAGAAACAAGTCATAGAAGTCAGAAGAGATTGGGCTGTGAGTTGAAATGCTTCAGAGAATGTGAAGGAGTTGAACATAGTTATCTTTATCTGAACTTTCCTTTTTGTGGCTTATTACAACCAGCCTGACAGAAGAAACTCAGATTTGGAATTTGGCCGGCCTGGGCATACAATGATACACATGGTAGCCTGCATCCTTTTTTAGAATGGCTATCATGGCATCAAAAAAGTCATGTTTTTATATACTGTTTTAAAAGTCATTGGCTTGGTTATACTTCAGTAGTGGTGTTTGGGATTTGGAGTAAAAGTTCAATTCCCTTCTGCACAAATTTAACATAGAGCTGTGCTTGAGTTATGGCTCACTCTGGAATACATTAGTTCCTTCAGTCCTGTAATGGTTCTTGTAGGTATATCTAAATACAGTGTTGTCTTAATTGAAGAATGAGTAATTTTACTATGCTTTAAGCCATGATTTCAAGAAATTTTAATTGCATTTTATTTAGTTTATTCTGTGTGTGTATGTGTGCCAAGTTATATATGCTAAGATCAGAGGGCAACTTTTGAGAATTGGTTCTTTTCCTTCTATGTTGGTCCTAGGATTGTTCTCAGGTTTAGCAGCAGGCACTTTTACCATCTGAGCCATCTCACTGGTCCTTGAATCATCTCTCTGGCTCTGATACTCTTTTATTCTAATTTAGTGATTTTTAAGGTATGGTCTGGAGACCTGTAGGACACTTCTTTGGGCCTTTGAAAGACACTGGGAGTATATGGAGTTAAAACTGTTTTCATAAATAATACTTAATGTTAGCTGAGTGGTGGTGGTGCACGCCTTTAATCTCAGCACTCGTGAGGCAGAAGCAGATGGATCTCTGTAAATTTGAGGTCAGCCTGGTCTACAAAGCAAGTTCCAGGACAGGCTCCAAAACTACAGAGAAACCCTGTCTCGAAAAACAAACAAAATCCTGTGGTGTTATGTCCTTTTCACCTTGTCCTCTTTAGGATATACAGTGGAATTTTCCAGGGGCTTCATGATAAGAGTTATTACAATAGATTGAAAGCAGAAACAGGCATGAAAATCATGCTGTCTTAGGCCACACATTAAAGAGATTTGCATTCAGTCACTATTTTTAAAATATTTTACTTTAAAAGTCTAAACATATAATGTTAATTTTTAGGGTACATATTAGAACCAATATTCCATTTTAAGGATTGGAAAGGAATTCTAGCCTCGTAATTCCTGAGAAAAGGAAGCCCTTTATGCACACTTCCTTATAAACTCCCTCCCTTTTGTGCTGTTTGTTTCACTTTTGTTGTTCCTCATCTTTAGATGCCTAAAGCCCTCTTCTAAGCCACTTTTAAGTCTTTGTCAGTATAACTTTCACTAACTGATTGTGAACTGTTTCCTTCATCTGTTATATACCGATTTCCTGGCTATTTATTTAAAAAACTCTGTGCCTGTCTTCTTTGGTATCTGTTTTCTTTTCCGACCATTTTAAAACTTCCTTAAGATGTTTGTAACTAGCTGGAATTATAGGGCCCACACAACTGTACCCAGCTTACTTCTTATTTCTGACATTTCTTAAATTTGTTCATCCATTTAACAATGTTGCTAACCACACATACAATATGCTATTCCTTTGCTTGGCATGGGGATACAAAAACTAGATAATTAATCCTTGTCCTTTCAGAATTTATAGGCTACCTGGGATGGTCACTTTGGATCAAGTAGGAACAATAAAATAAGGCTATTTGTGTAGCTTCCTACTTTATCCCAACCGGAGTAACTAAGGGAGGATTGTGGGAAATCACTGATAGCTGTAATAACAGCAGCAGCTGTAGAGCAAAAAACATTCATTGCTTGTCCACCTCATGTCAGATATTTTCCTAATATCATTTCAGTGCCCAGCCTCCAAACACCCTCATTCATGTGCACATATCACATATAAATATACATACAAAGTCATATTTTAAGACCTGTTAAAAAAGTGAAGATCAGTGTTTTTCTAATGGAATGTCACTGGGTATATCAACCACACTCCTCATGCCAAGGAGTAGTTGACCAACACAAAATGAACTTTTTATGTGTGTGTGTGAACTTTTTGTTTCATTTTGGCATTTTTTGTTTGATTGTTTTACTGATTTTTTTGTTTTGTTTTGATTTTCATTTTTGTGTTTTTGTCAGTGTTCTATCATTGAGAAGAGACCAAGGCAACTCTTACTGGCAAAGCATTTGTTGAGCAGTAGTGGCTCACACCTTTAGTTCCAGTGCTTTGGAGGCAGAGGAAGATCTCTGAATACAAGGTTAACCTGGTCTACAGAGTGAGCTCTAGGACTGCTGGGCAACATAGAGAAATCCTGTCTCAAAAAACAAACCAAAAAAAAAAAAAAAAAAAAAAAAAAGAGGAGGAGGAGGAAGAGCAGAAAGCGTTGAGTTGGGGTCTTGCTTACAATTTCAGATAGTCCATGATCATCATGGCTGGAAGCAGACAGGCAGTAGCTGAAAGCTACATCCTCCCCTTAGGCAGCAGGCAGAGAGGAAGAGGCAACAGAGTAGGCCTGGCATGGTCTTTTGAAACTCAAAGCCCACCCTCAGTGACACGGCTCTTTCCAACAAGGCCACCTTGTCTAATCTTCCCCAAACAGTTCTGCTAAGAACCAAGCATGTACGCGAGTCTATATGGAGGCCATTCTGGGTTCAACCACCACAGTGATTCTGTTTGTCTGTCTGTCTGTTCCTTTTTGAAAGAATGAGAAAAAATACAAGGTTGGGTGGGGAGGTTCTAGGAGGAGTTGGGGGAGGGGAAACAAAATATACTGTATGAAAATTTTTTGAAAGAAAAAGTGGGGAGGATGGAGAGATTAAAGCAGAATTTTCAAGTTTGAAGAAAAGAATGGTCTTTCTCAGCAGAGAAACTGGAACAGGAGCCATTAGGTGTTTAATTAATGGTATTGTTTACATAATGCCTAAAGGATTATCCATGGCTTACTGGAAACTTAAGAGAACTCTCTAACCTATCTGTTATTCCCTTTGACAGAGTGACGTCAGAATCAAGTTTGAACACAATGGGGAGAGACGGTAAGTTGCCTTCTGATGAATAGTTTTGTTAATGTATGCTGAAGTCCTGAGAAAGCACTGAGCTCAGAAAGCTACCTCTAGTAATAAGACCTTTTCTTTTTTATTAACTTTTTTATTAATATTTTAGTTGTAATTATCTTGTGAAAAGCCAACTTGGAAATTCTCAGTGGAGAAAAATGTGACTTCACTTAATTTCTCTGCTCCTCATGGAGAATTTAGGAATCTGTGTTGTGGATATGCCTCTATGCACCTAAATGTTTTTATTTTTCAGTGTTGTCATACGTATATACCCCTTTTGCTTCTCTCTCTCACACTTCTTTCTTTCTCCTTTTCTTTATTTCCTTAGTTACTTTTTCTATTACTGTGATAAAACACCAGGATGGAATCAACTTGTAAAAGAAAGTTTAATTGGGCTTACAGTTTCGGAAAGTTAGAATTCATGATAGGGAAGTAAAGGCATGGTAATAGCAACAGCTGCTGGTGGAGAGAGGTAAGGAGAAGTGGTGGGGATCGTTTGAAACCTCAAAGTCTCCCCTACTCCCAGTGACACAGCTTGTCCAGCAAGTCCATACTTGCTAATCTTTCCCATTCAATTTCACCAATGGGGATCCATTGGAGTCTATAGGGAGGGACATTCTCATTGAAACCACCGCAGAGGAGTAAGCAGCAGCCCTACAAGAAGATTACAGAGCCCTACTATAGGTGCCTACAATACCTTACTCCTTTTCTTTATTCTGTGAGTTTTCTGCAGCTGATGCATTTCAGCCTGCTTTAAAGCCAGCTCCAAAGGAAATGTATAGTTGCTGTTGTCCCTCAAAAAGACCCATTGTCAGAAGCATACAAGGTTGAAAGAGTTTCCGGGTCAAAGTGCTGTGGAAACAATAGTCTGCAGAGCTAGGATCCCTGAGTTTTAAGGCTAGTCTAACCTGGAGGAGGGGAGAGCTGTAGCATGAATTCTCCTTGGTCTTAATAATAAAACCTCAGAGTCAGATATTAGAGGGGGAAAGCTGAAAAGATCAGAGAAGCAAAGCAGCCAGCCACTAGCTCTTACCTCTACCTCAGACCAAAAAGGATTCTGTCCTCAGATTCCCTCCTCAGATTGCTTCCTCAGACTGACTGCTTCAGACTAATTGCTGCTCAGACTGCCCTGAGCGCCTGTCTTCTCCTGCCTTATATTCCTCTCTCTGTCCAGCCATATCCCTTCCTGTCTCCACCTCCTTAGTGTTGGGATTAAAGGTGTGTTACCCCAAGTGCTGGGATCACCTTTGTGTGAACTGTTTCTCTTTTAGACTGGATCAATTTTGTGTAGCCCAGGGTGGCCTTGAACTAACAGAGATCCCTCTGCCTTTCTCCAGAGTGCTGGGATTAAACTAGTGTGGATGCTAGGATTAAAGGTATGTGCCACCACTGCCTGGCCTCTATGGCTAACTAGTGTGGCTAGCTTTGCACTCTGATCTTCATGCAAGCTTTATTTGTTAGATCATAAACAAAATATCACTACAGAGCCCTGTCCCCCAATTCTGTACCCTGCCAGAAGCAAGGAAGTTAAATTCCACTTCATCGTTGGTGCTTTTTATTTTCTGACCTGACTGTATTTTTGAGGGATGACCAAACTTGGGGCACCAGAGACTTTTCAGAGGTAGATATGGAATCAAAAGCTCAGTTTTGGAGTTTAATTATGCAGTTATGGTCTCTGAATTCCCTGTTCCCAAAGTGGTGTGTGTGCAGTTTCCATGAGGAGACAGTGAACTGTGAAAGTGTATGTGTTTGATTTCAGAGAAGCTGCCGGTTGGAAACCACAAGTATTTAAGGTAGTCAGACAGGAATAGCCTTCTGAAGCCCTGAGCCACAGAATGCTGTGATCAAGGTTTTGAAAAATCTACATTTTTAAAAAATGGAGTTGTTTTCAGGAACCATGGCATTTCACTGTTTGTGAAGTCAAATGAGGACTTGAGAGAATTACTACCAAACAGCCAAACTTAAGCTGTGCCAGGCATTTCTAGTTATTTGTATTTCATCTCTTATAGTTTTGTAAAGAGGGTCATTATGGACTTTCTTTAGTTTTTATAGGGAAGTAGTATTTTTCCTTCTTTTATTATTATTTTTTTGATCTTACGTGTGTCAGTGTTTTGCCTGCATGTATGTCTGTGCATCACCTATATACTTGGTGCCTGAGAAGGCCAAAAGAGGGTATTGTATCCTCTTGAACTGGAGCGAGGATGTTTAGCTACCATGTGGGTGCTGGGAATCAACCTCCAGGTCCTCTAGAAGAATAGCCAGTGCTCTAACTATTGAACCATCTCTCTAGCCCAGTATCTTTATAAATGTAGGCACTTGTAGAATTGGAATTTACAGGAAAAGTGAAAGAATTAGTGACTCATCCCATTTGTCTAGGTATTTACTTCCATGGGTAGACTGCCATTTTAGAAGAGGAAAACTGTTTCCTTCTAAAATCCATAGCAGTAAGACAAATGGCCTCAAGTCTATTAGCCAGTGTGATGGCAGCAGCCTAGTTCTTACTGACTCTGGAAACTCATGGTTTCTGATCATGAGCAGATTTTCAAGTAGTTGAGGATGATTGACTGTCTCATAGCCAGGCTGATACAGAAGAACTTCTCTCTGAGCTTGATTCCTTTCCAGAACTGTTGGAAGAATAGCTCCCTCATAATGAAGCTAGAGAGATGAAGAGCACTGCCTGTTCTTCCAGAGGATCTGGAGTTTGATTCCCAGCACCCACAGAGTAGCTAACATCCTAGCTCCAGTTCCAGGGGATCCAGTGCCCTCTCCTGGTCTCCTCAGGCACCATGTACACATTGATAATGCAGAGGTGTTTATGAAAATGTTGGTCCCTTTTGGACTTTTGCTAAGACCCTAATAAAAGGAATGTTGTTTACCTTTAAGCATTAATGGAGAATGTTTCTCTCCAAAGGTTACAGGTAGTACCGCCATCTAGATAATCCAGATATACAGTACCTAGCAGTACTACTGTTTGGGAGAATTGATTTGAGAAAGAGAAAAAAAAATTACAAGGATTATTATAGTATAGATACATTTCCTAGTGGAGACAATTGAAACAGCAATATAATTTCCAAAGAACAGTTTATGATTACATTAATATCCTATCAGAATTGTTCAACAGAACTTACAGCTATCATGAAAATATTCTGTATCTGCATTATCTATTATAGTACCTAATAGTTAAATGTGATATGTGGCTGATGAGACTGAGAAACCCAATTTTTTTTTGTTTTTGTTTTTGTTTTTGTGATTGTTTGTTTGTTTGTTTTTTGAGACGAGGTCTTTCTAGCTATCCTGGAGACCAGGCTGGCCTCAAACTCAGCGAAATTCACCTGTTCTTGCCTCTCAAGTTCTGAGATTAATGGCATGTACCACCTTGCCCATCAAGGAGCCAGTTTTGAACATATTTTAATTTTAAATTTTAGTGGTCACATGTGACTGACTAATGGCTACCATATTGAATATTAATTCTAGATAAGGAAGGCCTTTTATGCTGCTTATTGATTTGAGTCTACCTAGCATAGAAGAACATTAAAGAAATTATCTGGTTAGATTTTATCAAAACCTACTGAATTAGAGCCTTCCCTTTTGTGAGTTTTGCTTTTCTTGATTATACCCCTTCCCACTCTGCAGACACATTTAATATGTGAAAATTGTTTTGGTCAGCTTGGAAGACGGTAAGAAGCATAGAGGCTATGGTTGAGTGTCTACTCTACTACTAGTCTGACTTGCCCTACCTGGGCATAATGAGAATGCACTAGCCATTCATAGCGATCTCTGTACATTGTCTTAGCTTTTACTTCTTTCTACTTTCCTATTGGTTTTTGTTTGTTTTCTCTCCTTTTCTTTATCTTCCTGGGTTTTGTTTGGTTGGTTCTTGTTTTTTAGTTTTTTTGTTGTTGCATTTTGTCTGTCCATTCTCTCCCCCCATCCCTTGATTCAGAACATCTTATTTGTAGCTGAAGCTGGCCTTGAACTCTTGGGATATCTCACTTCAGCTTCCTGAATGCTGGGATTACAGATGTGAGCCATCATATTGGGCTTTACCTTTTTCTTACTGATTTTTTTCTTTTCCTCCCTTTTTCCCTCCCTCTCTTTTTCTTTCTTTCAAGGGAATGGGAGTTGACACAAGATCTATCTCACTGTATAACTCAGGCAGCCATTGACTAGCTTTGTATCCCAGGCCAGCCTAAGACTTGAAATCCTCCTGCATCAGCCTTCTTTTTTTTTTTTTTTCTTTAATTATTTTTATTTTATGTGAATTAATGTTTTGTCTGTATGTGTCTGTATGAGGGTGTCAGAACCCCTGGAACTGGAGTTAGAGACAGTTGTGAGCTGCCATGTGGGTGCTGAGAATTGAACCCAGGTTCTCTGGAAGAGCAGCCAGTACTCTTAACTGCTGATCCCTCTCCAGTTCCTGCCTCAGCCTCTTAAATGCTGATAGGCTTGTGCCACCAATCCCAGCTTTAATTTTTTAAGTTAAATTTATTTCGTTTTACTTTACCTGTATGAGTGTTTTGCCTGCATGTATGTCTGAATAGCACCTGCGTGCCTGATGACCCTAGAGGCCAGAAGACCATGTCAAACTACTAGAACTGAAGTTACAGACCTTTGTGAGCCATAATGTGGGTGGGCATTAAAAGTCAAACCTGGTTCTTCTGGAAGAGTATGTAGTGCTCTTAACTACAGAATCATTTCTCTAGCCCTATGCCTTCTATATTTTCTTAAATTTATTTTTTTTAGCCAATCCCAGCTTTTATAGACTTTCTTCATTTTTGTGGTTTAATTTCATTGATGGTTTTATTTTGTCATTAGTTTTCTGTTGTTTTGGGTTTGGGTTTGTTTGTTTGTTTGAGATAAGGCCTCACCACCATTCAGTCCTGGCTGGCCCCTTATTCTGTTTGTAGACCAGACTGCTCTCTAATTTCCAGAGATCTGCCTGCTACTGCCTTCCAGATGCTGGGATTAAAAGTATGTACTACCATTTTGGACAGGAGTTTAAATTTTTGTTATCAGGGCAAATGCTCTATCACTTAGCTTTATCCTCAGTCCAAGAAGACACATTTGACAGCAAAATTACTCTCTGTGTTTATTTGAATGTGAATGCACCCCGTTGGCTTATGTATTTGAGCTTTTGATTTCTGGTTGGACTGTTCAGGAAGAATCAGGAAGCGTGGGTTGGAGGAGGTGTGCCACTGGGAGTGGGTTTGGGGGGTTTCAGGAACTCAGGGCAAGCCCAGTCTCTCTCTGCTGCTTGTGGATGAGAGATAAATGCTCTCAGCTACTGTCCCATCACCATGCCTGCCTGCCTGCCCCACTACCATGGGAGTCATGGACTCACTCTCTGAAACTGTAAGCAAGCCTCCAATTAAGTTGTTTGGTTATGGTGTCTTTTCTCAGCAATAGAAAAGTAACTAAGACACTTTCTAAATTTTAAATATGTTAACCAACATTCTTGCTCTCTTTTAGAATTATAGCGTTTAGCCGGCCTGTGAGATTCGAAGATGTGGAACACAAGGTGACAACCGTATTCGGGCAACCCCTTGATTTACATTATATGAATAATGAGGTGAGAAAGAGGAATGGGGAGAGGCCAAAGGGACAGCCATATGTGCCTTTTTCACTTCTTGCCTGAAAATTTTTCAGTTTGTTTCTTTAATATAATCTGCAGATTTTCTGTTTCTGGAGCTTCTTTATTAACTGCAACAAATGGGATTTTTATTATGTAGTTACTTGTATTCTCCTTATTTAGTAACATCTTATCCCATCGTGGGAGAAGATACGGTACCAGAGCCAAGGCTTTGTTTGTAATAGGTTTTTGCTGTTGTTGTTTTCCTCAGCACAGTCTTAACAAAAGTGGAAATTTCAGCAGGAGCTGGGAAGGTGTAAAGAACTGTGGGATAGGTCATCTATTATGTTCATAAAGGTTAGGGTCTTCTCTCAGAGTTTAATTCTAATTGTAGCTTGTTTTAAAAGTTAACACCTAATCCATTGATTAACTATTTATTCCATTCCTTTCCTCAATAGTCTTTATTTGTTCCTGCTTCAAATTTCACCTAGGAAGGAATTCTTTTGAATATTACTTTATTCTTCTAGCTCTTAATAAAGGTTGCAGTTGGTTTAGGCTAACAGTTTCTATTATTCTGAAAGGCAGTGCATTTATGCTTATGTAATGGAAAGCATTATGGAAAAATGTTGGGGACAGTTGACTTGAGTCTGCCATGCAAATAAATGCTTTACCACTGAACCACATCCATAACCCTCTTACTGTGTAGTTTTATATTTGGTAAAATAGAAATTTTCTGTATAGTTTAGTCTCTAAATTGGTGGTTGCTGAGATGTATATGTATGTATGTTAAAGGATTTCTTTGTTTTGTTTTTGCTTTTAAGACAGTCTGAATATAAAGCCAAAGCTATCTTTGAATCATGATCTTCCTGCTTCAGCCTCCTGTGTGCTGGGATTACAGGTGTGTACTCACACCTGGCCTTGGGTGCTGAAGGTTTTGGGTGTTTTAGACAAGATTTTGTTAAGTAGCACATGCTGATCTTAAAATTGTGGTCTTTTTGCTTTTGCCTCTTCAGTACTGGCATTACAAGTAACATGCACCACTATACCCAGTGATCTTTAGGGTTTTTTTAGGGTAAATTTTTGAAACATGGTGAATTTGGTAAGTAAATCACTAACTATAGTTTATAAAAAATACAGATGCAAATATTTTAAGGCACATGAACTAAGACATTTTCCATCTAGGATATGAATCTCCTTGAAAAGGAGACTGAGTCTCATTACATGAGAGATTGGGTTTCATATTGCCATGAGCTCATCAGCACCAAAGAAACAAAGGACTCTGTAGATGATGTGGTACTTTTTTCTTCTTCCCGTTATTTTTCCATTAAGAATTAAAGGTTGTGCTGGGCAGCGGTGGTGAATGCCTTTTAATCCCAGCACTAGAGAGGAGAGACAGGCAGATCTCTTGAGTTCGAAGGCCAGCCTGTTCTACAGAGGGAGTTCAGAACAGGGTCCAAAAGCTACAGAGAAACCTGTCTCAAAACACCAAAAAAAAAAAAAAAAAAAAAAAAAAGACTCAAGGGTTGAGCCAGTCTGGTTTTGCATACCTTTAATCATAATACTCAGGAGGCAGAGGCAGGGAGATCTCTGTGAGTTCAAGGCCAGCCTGGTCTACAGAGTGAGTTCCAGGGCAGACCGGGCTACATAGAGAAACCTGTTTCAAAAAACTAAAAACAGAAATAACAAAAAGAATCAAAAGCTAGAGAGATGACTTGGTTGGCAAACTGCTTGCCCTGCAAGTATGAGATCCTGAGTTCAAATTCCCCATCACCCACATAAAAGGCCAGGTGCTAGACAGGCAGATTTAGGAGAATCCCTGGGGCTTGGTGGCCTGCCAGTCTATCGAAATCAGTGAGCTCAGGTTCGGTGAGAAACTGTCTCAAGAAAAAGGTGGGGAGCAACTGAGGAAGATTTTTACCATCCACTTCTACCTACACATTTATGTCCAAGTACACCCCACCACAAGATGCACATATACACAGGCATTCAAGAATTCCAGTTTACTTTCAAACCCTTTGCCCTTCCTTCTCTTGTTTTGAGTAGGGTTTCCTTATGCATTTCTGGCTGGTGTGGTATTTATTCTGCAAATCCTTCTGCTTCTGCTTCCCAGGTGTGCGAACATACCACCACCACCCCATTCTTGACAACCAAAAGGCCTACTCAAAATGTTATTATTTATTTATGTAAATATAAATTCTAAAGCTATATATCAAGAATTCCTATTAAATTACATTAGCACATGTTCATTAGATTTATTTAGGTCAGTGATCTGGAGTTGTTTTTTAAGACAGGATTTCTCTATGTAACAGTCCTGGCTGTCCTGTAACTCTCTCTGTAGACCAGGCTGGCCTCGAACTCAGAGATCAACCTACCTCTGCCTTCCTAGTTCTGGGATTAAAGGTGTGCATCACCACTGCCTGGCTGTGTTTTGTTAATTTTAAATACCTCAATTCTGCTGGGTGTGGTGACCTACACCTTTAAAATCAACACTCAGGAACAGAGGAGGAGGATCTCTGTGAGTTTGAGGGCAGCCTGATCTACATTGTGAACCCAAGGACAGCCAGTGATAAATAGATTAAACACCAAAACTAACCTTCAATTCCTTTCTTTTCTCCCTTATCAGGATTTGTGAATACCCAATAAGAACTTGATTATAGTTTAATATATATTTTTGTAATAATAGCTATTGAGATATAATTCAGTTATCTTAAAATTCAACCCACTAAAGTATCAGATTCATTGGGTTTATATTGAATTTATAGAGCTATACAGCCCAAACCACCAGCTAATTTCAAAAGCAATTCCATCTTTCTTAATTTATTTATTTATTTGGAGACAGGGTTTCTCTGTATCACTTTGGAGCCTGTCCTGGAACTAGCCCTGTAGACCAAACTGCCCTCGAACTCACAGAGACCTGCCTGGTCTGCCTCCCGAGTGCTGGGATTAAAGGCGTGTGCCACCAATGCCCAGCCAGTTTCATCTTCTAAAGACATACTTTAGACCCATTATGGGTCATTGCCCAGTCTTTTCTTTCCCCACATTTTAGTTACCACTTACCTAATTTCAGTATGTTTGGATTTGCTTATTTTGAATATTTAATGTAAGTAGAATCATACAATATAGAGTCTTTGTGTCTGACTTCTTCCACGAAGCCTGTGTTTTCATATTGTAGCATGCATCAGTACTTTATTATTCTTTGTGGCTGAATAATCAAAATTAAGTTATATGGATATATACCACTTTATTATTTCTGAGTTTTTTTTCAAGACAGGGTTTCTCTGTGTATCTCTGGCTGCCCTAGAAGTTGCTCTGTAGACCAGGTTGACCTTTAACTCAAAAGATCTGCCTGCCTCTGTTTCCCAAGTGCTGAGATTAAAGTCATGCATCACCATTGCCTGCCACTTTTTATGTATCCATCAAGTTGCTTTCAGTTTTTGGTGATTATGAACATTTGTGTATAAGGTTTTATATGAACATGTGTTTTCAGTTGTTAACATATACCTAGGAGTAGAATTGCTATGTACAACTTTTTAACTTCCCAAATTTTTGTGATGTTTATACCATTAAATAGTCCTACCAACAATGTATGAGAACTGAAATTGTTCCATCAACCTTACCATTTATTATTTCCTGCACCTTCTTTCTCCATTTTCTCAGTCTCTGCATGCCAGGGAAGCACTGTGTCTCTGAGCTACTACTATCCTGAGTGCTGGAATTACAGTGTGTGCCAACATATTCCATTTTCCCTTTCTGATAGCCCTTCTAGTAAAGCATGTGAAGTGCTGTGACATGTGGTTTTGATTGGCATTTCCCTAATGACTAGTGATGTTGAGCATCTTTTCTTATGCTTGTTGGCCATGTGTACATTGTCTTTGGACAATTACCTATTTAAGTCCTTTGCTTACTTTAAAAGTTGGGCCTTTTATTGTTGAATTGTAAGAGTTGTCTTATATGGTTTATGTACTAGACTCATACACTGGCAAAATTATCTTCAGTTTTTTTGGAAGTGATTTCTTTCTTTCCCTCACACCCAGACTGACTGACACTCTCTCTCTCTCTCTCTCTCTCTCTCTCTCTCTCTCTCTCTCTCTCTCTCTCTCTCTCATTCATCTGTCTATCTGTTTCTTTCTCCAATTTCATGGAGCTCAGGCTGACCTCAAACTTCTGATTTACCTGCCTCCACCTCCTTAGGTGTACATCCTTTGTGCCTACTTGATGGAGTTCTGGGCTTGAATGTAGTGCATTCTTAAATGCTAGGTAAGCACTACCAACTGAACTACATCCTAGTCCTGTTATTTGTTTCTCAGGAAGGAACTTTTCTGCAATATGATATGAATTATAAAACATTCTTCCATCCTATGAAAAGTTTTGAGGTTTATTTTAAATTTAGTACTGATTATTTGTTTATTCCCATTTGGAATTTAGAGTTCTTATCTCTTTAAGTTAAGACCCAAATAAGTTAATTGGGTTTTTGCTTCAGCTTTGTTTTTAGCATACACATATAAGTTCTGACATTTTCTAGGCAAAGCATACTTTTGCATCTTTAATGTTAAGTACTTGGGCTAGGGAGATGGCTCAGTGGGTAAAGCTCTTGATGTCCAAGTATGAAGACCTGAGTTCAAATCCAGAGAACACCTGCAAACACCAGGCAACATAGTATATGCCTCTGTCCCAGTGCTCCTGTAGTGAGATGAAGTCAGAGACAAGAAAATCTCTAGGTGCTCATAGTGGGTCGTCTATCTAGCTTATGCAGTGGCAAACAACAAAGAGATTGTTTGAAACCAGGTGGATTGGGAACACTGGGATCTGAGGTTGTCTTCTGACTTCCACAAATGCACTGTAGTATGTGTACACCCAAACTCTCAAGTGTGCATACACATATATCAAACACAGACCCGTCTTACTACTCACAATGTCCTCTGCATGTAACAGTAAGTGAGGGCTATCTGCATTCTCAAATATCTTCTCAGTAATTACTGAGGAGGTTGTTTTCCTGTCCTAGTCCTGGCTTTAACTTTATTATATAATATTAAGCACTGCTGTCTTAGGATTTCAGTTGCTGTGAAGAGACACCTTATAACTCTTATAAAGGAAAGCATTATGTACCCCAAGCAGGCTGTCCTAAAACTTGTAATTCTCATACCTCAACCTTTTGAGTACTGGCATAATAGGTGTGTGCCATTGTCTCTGGCTTAAGACTAAAACTTTAAAAATTGAATTGAGGGGCTAGAGAGTGCAGATTTGGTTCTCAGTACCACTTGGTGACTCATAACTATCCAGAATTCTAGTTTCAGGGAATCTAACACCTTCTCTTGACCTCCATAAGTACCAGACACACATGAAACACATCTATATCTATGCAGGCAAAACACGCATACATACTAAAAAATTAAATACATTCTTTAAAAAAAACCAAAGTCTTGAATCAAGGGACTATAGCAGTGGCTCAGCAGATAAGACTACTTGCTTTTGCAGAGAATTCAGGTTCAGTTTTCAGCACCCACATCAAGCAGCTCACAACTGCCTGTAACTCCACAGCTATTTGTAACTCCAGTTCCAGAGGATCCAATGTACTCTTCTGTGGTCTCCATAGGCACCTGCATGTATATGGTACATACACATATATACTCGGGCCCACATAAATGCATAAAATAAACTTAAAACAAAGAAGTCTGGCATGGTGATGCATGCCTTCAATTCCAGCACTCAAGAGGCAGAGGCAGAAAGATCTCTGTGAGTTCAAGGCCAGCTTGATCTACAAAGTGAGTTCCAAGACAGCCAGGACTACATAGAGAGACCCTGTCTAAATAAATAAATAGAATCATATATATAAACTGTATGATTTCATTTATATTAAAAGTTCAAAAAATACAAATCTGTAGAGATAGAAAATATGCTGGTGGCTGCCTGGCACTGGTAGTGGGAAGGGGGATAGACTATAACTGGGCATAAGAGATAAGTGATAACACCATTTTAAGACTGAAAAGAACTGATGGATGCACAGCTCTGTAAATCTATTTAGCACTGGTAGTGGGAAGGGGGATAGACTATAACTGGGCATAAGAGATAAGTGATAACACCATTTTAAGACTGAAAAGAACTGATGGATGCACAGCTCTGTAAATCTATTTAGGAATTACTGTACACCGAGAGGAAATAAACTTTATATTTTCAGCAGGATCTGTTAAGACCTTATAGGATCCAGTGAGATTGTTTTCCTGTAAACATATGTTTAGTTTTTGCAAACTAAAACATTAAGAAAGATTTGTATTTTGTATGATTTATTTTTCTGTGTTCTGTTGTTTTAGCTCTCCATCCTGTTGAAAAACCAAGATGATCTTGATAAAGCAATTGACATTTTGGATAGAAGCTCAAGCATGAAAAGCCTTAGAATACTACTGTTACCCCAAGACAGAAACCATGTAAGTATTTACTTGACAGGATTTTGTGTTTCTTAGCCACTGTCAAAATAAGAATATGACATTCAGTCCATCCCCATCAGTGACCATTTAATTTCACTGGGAGTCAGATTGTTAGAGTCAGTTACAGCAAAGATTATTTGACTAACAGCATTAACATTTCATGATAAAGGAGAACCCCCTCCCACACATATACACATAGTCCTTTGATTAGATTTTAATCTAAATAAGAGATATTTGTGCAGTGTTGGTTAGTTACAAGGATCGGCTATCAAGGATTTGAGATTTTTTGAACCCATCTCCACAACTCAGTGACCTTGCCTTGCCTTTGAGATACATTTGAGAAATATACTTTTACTTCTGTTCACTGGGAAAAATGGCTATAGGTTGGAGGGCTTCTTGCAGTTTGCCAGCTTAAAATGAGTGCTTTACCAAATGTCTGGGAATTACCTCTTAAACAGTTTTCTCTACTGAATGGTTCCTTGGAGTGTACATTTTGTGAGAATGCTTTCAATCTTGACCTGTTTGCCATCACTGAAAATGCATGTTCTGGAAGGTTTCTTAGTACTCTTTTTTTTTTTTTCTCCTTATACTTGAAGACTTTAGACAGAATAGTTATGAGAGAAGGATGAACATAACATACCAGATTAGTTTAGGTGGACTGGCCCTTACACTGCCGTTTTGTTTTGTTTTGTCTTGGTTTTTTTTTAGGTAGAGTCTCACTATGTAGCCCTGGCTGGCCTAGAACTCAAGAGACCTGCCTACCTCTGCCTCCTGAGTGATGGGATTAAAGGCACCAATTCACCAGGCTCCATTTATTTATTTTATATGTATGAGTGTTTTGGCTGCATGTATATATGTATGCCACATGCATACATATCTGGGAATATGTAAGTCAGAAGAGGACATGGATTCCTAGAACTGAAATAATGCGTAATTATGAGCTGCCTTATATGTGCTTGGAACTGAACCTGGATCCTTTGCAAGAACAGCAATTTCCTAGTCCCTCATATATATGAACTCAGGCTGTCTGGAACTCACTATGTATTGCAGCCTGGCCTTGAATTCAAAGATCCACCTTCTCTGTATCCTGAGTGCTGGGATTAAAAGCTAATCCTTTGTCTGGATATGTTTGTTGGGGAAATATCACAAAGTAGATATGTACCATTTCATTTATCTTTTCAAGTTACTTGCCTGTCGTTCCTTACTAGCCTATCAGGTAAGATGTAAATGACCTAAGGCAGCTAGGGATGTATCTTAGTGATACAACAGTTGCCTAGCATTTGGGAGGCCCTGGGTTTATAGTCAACACACGAATGAATCAGTCAACCAATCTAGCTTAGCATCTAGATTAGTCACTGATCTATTGCTGTGAAGAGATATCATGACCAAGGCAACTCTTATAAAAGAAAGCATTTAATTGGGAGCCTACTCACAGTTTCACAGATACGTTCATTATCATCATGGTGGGGAGCATGGCAGCAGGTAGGCAGGTAGGCATGGTGTTGGAGAAATAGCTGAGGGCTACACTTTGATCCACAGGCAACAGACCAGAGGAGTTGGGAGGATCAGAGAGGGAGCCACACATGGGCAGATGGAGGGACAAACAGACACTGGGCCTTACATGGGCTTTTAAAACCTCAACTCCCACCCCTAGGGACATACTTCCTCCAGCAAGGCCACACCACCTAACCTAACCCTCAAACAGTTGCACTTCCTGGTCACTAAGCACTCAAAGATAGGAGGAGCCTGTGGAGGCCACTCTCACTCACACCACACAATCACCAACTGCCCCTTGCTTTTAGCTTCCCAACCTCATCTTTGTCACCTCCTTTGCCATGCTCCCTCCTTGTCTGTAGCCAGTCCATCCTGTCTTCTGGTTTTTTAGCAACCAGTTTGATTTTACCTATTATAGTTTATCAGCGTTCTTGCTGTAACTGTTATTATTTCTTATTCCTTCCGTTTGGATGTGATTTTCATAATAGTTCACATTTTATTTACCAATTGCCTTCTCGCATATTTGTAAGGTATATCACAAAAGATTATAAGCTCCCTAAGAATAGGAGCTGTATCATTGTTTTGTGACACTTTCTACCCTTTCTCTAAATAATACGTGAGTGCTTTTTTAAAATATAGTTTATTTATGTAAATGAGTGCTCACTCCATTTGCATGTATGCCTGCATGACAGAAGAGGGCATCAGATTCCATCAGATGGTTGTGAGCCACTGTGTGCATGCTGGGAATTGAACTCAGGACCTCTGGAAGAGCAACCAGTGCTCTTAACTGCTGAACCATCTCTCCACCCCCTGAAGAGTACTTTTTAAACTCTTAGTTAGGGTTTCTATGACTGCAGTGAAATACCATGACCAAAACACAAGCTGGCTTACATTTCCATTTCACTGTTTAACATAGAAGGAAGTCAGGGCAGGAACTCAAACAGGGTGGGAACCTGGAGCAGGAGCTGATATAGAGGCCATGGAGGGATGCTGCTTACTTGTTTACTCCTCATGGCTTGCTCAGCCTGCCTGCTTTCCTCCTTTCTTTTTTTGTGTTTTGTTTTTGTTTTTCAAGACAAGGTTTCTCTGTAGCTTTGGAGGAAGCTATCCTGAAACTCTATCAGTAGATCAGATTGGCCTCGAACTCACAGAGATCCGCCTGCCTCTGCCTCCCTAGTGCTGGGATTAAAGGCATGTGCCATTACCACCCTGCACCTGCTTGCTTTCTTAAAGAGAACCCAGAACTACCAGTTCAGGGATAGCACCACCCATAATGGGCTGGGTAATTAAGAAAATGCCTTACAGCTGGATCTTATGGAAGCATTTTTTCAATTTGGGTTCCCTCCTTACAGATAACTCTAGTTTATGTCAGGTTGACATAAGATTAGCCAGAAAACCCCCTTCCTTATAAAAGAGGCTGGATTAGCAATTTAGATGAGTTATTGTCTGACCCCTGATCCCCTGAGAAGTTAAAGACAACTAGTCATTTACGTCTACATACTACAGGTGCCTATAATAAGACCGTGAGTATAGCTGTGGCACAGAATAGTTTAAAAGGTGACTGTCCATCTGAGCTCTTACACTCATGGTCCTGCATAGGGCAAATGCTACATAAATGTCTTAAGTCATGTAACCTGTGGGTCTCATCTTCTTTGGGAGTTGAAGGACTCTTTCACAGGGGTCACCTAAGACCTTCAGAAAATACAGATACTTAAATTATGATTCATAATAGTTGCAAAGTTACATTTGTGAACTAGCAACAAAAATAATTTTGTAGTTGGGGAGTCACTACCACATGAGGAACTGTATTAAAGGGTTGTCGCAGCATTGGGAAGATTGAGACCCACTGCTTTAAAGGTAAACATTTAAAAAAGCAAAGCTGGGGGGCTGGAGAGGTGGCTCAGCTGTTAAGAGCATTTGACTGATCTTCCACAGGTCCTGAGTTCAGTTCCCAGCAACCATATGGTGACTTACAACCATCTATAATAGGATCTGATTCCGTCTTCTGGTGAACCTGAAGACAGAGCACTCATATACATAAAATGCATGAATAATTTTTTTTTAAAAAAGCAAAGCTGTACATGGTCCTCATAACACACTTACTGGTTTATTTCTGTACATACCTCTTGAATTGCTAACTTATGTGTACATACTTGATGCAAATTTTTCAGTGCTATTCTTGGAAGTCTCTGAGTTATGCTTTTGCTTTATGTTATGAACATTGTTCCAGTATCTAATCTTCATAATTATAATTTTTAGTGATGCATAATTTCCTTGACAAGATATACCATAATTACATAACTAACTTTTGGTAGGGGTACTACTAAGAAATTTAAAGTATTTCTTTTAGCATTAACAAAGATTTACACTTAATAACAATGGAGGCCAGGTGTGGTGAAGCACTCCTTTAATCCCAGCACTTGGGAGGCAGAGGCAAGTGCTACCAGCACTGAGAAGCTGTCTCAAAAAGCCATATTAATGGAAAGAAATAAAGATGGGGTGACAAGTCACCTTACCATGGTAAAGGCTCTTGCCTTTAAGCCTGACAACCTGATTTTTTATATATACTTATCATTTTTTCTTATTTTACATATTGATCCCAGTTTCCTCTCCCTCCCTTCCATGCCCCCCCCCCACCACCACCACCACTACCCCACAGGGAGAGAGAGTGATGCCTTCCAGGAGGGATCATCAAAATCTGTCAAGTAATTTGGAGTAGGCCCTCCCCCCTGCCTCTAGGCTAAGGAGTATCCCTCCATGGGGAATGTGCTCCCAAAGTCCTTTCATGTACCTGGGATACATCCTGGTTCCACTGTCAGAGGTCCCTTAGGCTGCCCAGGCCTTCTAACTGAGACCCACGTTCAGGTGGTCTGAGTCAGTATAGTGCTGATTTCCCAGCTATCAGTCTGGGGGTCAATGAGTTCCCCCTTGTTCAGGTCAGCTGTCTCTTTGGGTTTCTGTAGCCTGGTATTGACCCCCCCTTTTTTTTTTTAAATCACTCTTCCCTCTCTGCAACTAGATTCTAGGAGTTCAGCTCAGTGTGTAGCTGTGGGTGTCTGCTTCTGTTTCTATCAGCTACTAGATGAGGGTTCTATGATGGCATATAAGGTAGTCATCGATCTCATTATAGGGAAAGGGCCTTTAAGGTAGCCTTTCCACTGTTGCTCACATTGTTAGTTGGGGTCATCCTTGTAGGTCTTTAGACATTTCTCTAGAGTCAGTTTTCTCTTCAAATCTATAATGGCTCCCTCTATTATGGTATCTCTCCCCTCCCCCTCGTCTATTTGTCTCCCGACTCAATCTTCCTGGTCCCACATGTTCTCTTCTCCTCCCCTTCTCTTTCTCCTAACTCCCTCTTCACTGCCCCCCTCCACTTCCAATAAGCTCAGGAGATCTTGTTCCTTTCCCCTTCTGTGAGGGACTTGCATGAATCTCTTAGGTTCCTCAACTCACTGCCCCCCCCCAATAATCTGATTTTTTTTTTTTTAATCCTGAGGATCCACATATGTGGAAAGAGAACCAGTTCCTAAAAGTTGTCTCCACATACATGCCATGACATGTATGCACCCTTGCATATACACACAAAATAAAATTAAAAAGAAAATTAGAAAGGCCATCACAAAATAAAATAAAATTAGAAAAGCCGTCCAAGACAATATGATGACTCTTTCTCCATTAAATAAATAAATTTAATTAAATAATTTGTTAAAAGAAAAGAAATAAAAGTGCAGGTCAGTGAGATTGCTCAGAGAGTAAAGGTACTGATTGCCAACCCTCATGACCTGAGTTTGATCCCTGGAGCCTACATGGTGGAAGGAGAGACTGACTCACATAAGCTGTCTTACCTCTGCACATGCACACACAGAAATAAGCAAATACATAAATATTTGTTTTTAAATAAGTAGTTTTATTTTTTTTTAAGATGTGTCATTAAGGAAAGATACCCATCATTAATCCATGTTACCCACATCTGTGTATACATGTACATGAAATAGTAATTTTGTGCTTTTAATTTCCAATTTTTCATTAGCTGCATATTTATTTAATTTGAAAAGTAAAATGGGCTAGGCTTCTGCACTCGTGAGGCAGAAGCACACACATCTCTGGGAGCTCAAGGCCAGTCTGGTCAATATGAGTTTCAGAATAGTCAGAGCTACATAATAGAGAGACCCTATCTCAATAACAACAACAAAAAAAAAATGTAAAAGTGAAATGTAAAATAAAAATTAGAAAGGCTGGAGTTTATAGGCAGCTCAGTGTGATGCTTGCCTAATAAACCTAAGACCCTAGACCTAGATCTAACCCCCATCCACCAAAACAAAAAAGAAAAAGTATATGCTTATAAATTATAAGCCTGTAGTTTTTAGTTGTCATATTCAGTTGATATAAAGTTACTCTGCCAAATTGCTGTGAAGTGTTTCGAGGATTACTGTCATTACTGGTTACCTGAGAGGACCAATGTCCTACCAGTTCATAGACACTGTATCACTGATAAATATTGACATTTTGTTTCTCTGCTGTCAATCTCTATGTTTTGTAGTTGCCTCATCCAGCCTTTGTTACTATTTAGTTATTTATTTATTTTGAGGTAATCTCTAACCCAAGCTTATTTTGAACCCACAATATAGCATAGCTTAGGATAGATGACCTTGTACTTCTTGATCCTCCTGTTTCTACCTCCAGAGTGTCTAGTTTTACTCAGTGCTGAGACTGAACCCATAGCTCTGTGTAAGCATCCTACTAACTGAGCTAAGTCTGTAGCCCAGTTTAATTTTTTTCTAGCTTTTAGAGTTTTTAAATTATTTTATTTTCTGTGTTTGGCCTACACTATGTATGTGCTGGTGCCCATGGAGGTCAGAAGAGGGTATTGGATACCAGAACTCAAGTAACAGACAGTGCAAGCTGTTATGTGGGTGCTGGGAATCCAACCTGGCCCCTCTGGAAGAGCAGCCAATGCTCTCAACTGCTGAACCATCTCTGCAGCCTCCCCCCCTAGTTTATAGGTTTTTTTAAAACTGAAAGGTTAGAGTATATGTTCTTTGATACATTTCAAATCCAGGCTGCCAAGATCCATCATCGCCACTACATGAAAGGCTTTGTGTCTAACCAGATGACCTTGGGCACTCTTCATGTAGCTCCTAACTTCAGGACTACGGGCCCCTCCTTGCCCTTATCCCCAGTATGTGGTTTTGGCTGTTTTTTCCTTTTTGACACTGAGCAGAGAGCTATTGCACATCGGAGGGTTCAGCAAGAATATTCACTTCCCCTTGGTTCTTTCTGACTTCCTGTTAGAACAAGACAGTTTGTCAAAGCAACCTTACATGTAATGAAGTCTGGCATGGGAAGACTAGGGAAGACTGCTTGGCAGCTGAACTTGACCCTGGAAGCGGGAAGCCTTTTTCCTGAAGGACAGGATATAGAGATTGCTTATGTGGTCATCTTCCCCCCCCCCCCCCCCCCCCCGGTTGGGAGGTAGAAGCAAGTAAAAACTTTGGCCCAAATTGTATCTCCTATTTTTACTCTTGATAGCGCTCTTTTCTTTTTCAATATTCAGCTTTAAGCTTTCTCAGTGTAAAGTCCTTCCTATTGTTTTGATTTCTCACCTTGGTGACTAGGCTAGCATAAAATAAGGGTGAGTGCAGGAAGGCTACCGACCCTGTTCTGAGCTCTTTGACATCCAACTTGACAGCCTTTCCCATTTGAACATGAACCCAAGATGGTTTGCATGTAAACCTTTATACTTTGAAGCAGCTGAGGTTTTTATTGTAATTTGAGGGAGTAATTATAGTTGTGGAAGAAGGAGCAGATTGAGTTACCTTTGTGTGTGTGTGTGTGTGTGTGTGTGTGTGTGTGTGTGTGTGGTATATGTGCACATGTATGTGCAAATGTAGATAGGCCAGAGGAGAATATTGGGTATTCTTCTCTATCACACTCTACCTTATTTCTCTAAATGAGGGTCTCCTTACTGAACCTGGAACTGGGCTAGTGGCCAGCCAGCAGGCTCTAGTGACTCTTGTCTCTAGCACTCCCATATTATGGTTACAGGAGCACACAGTCACATTGGCTCTTTCCATAGGTGCTGGAATCGAAAGTCAGGCCCTCTGCTTACAAAGTGAACATCCTTACTCACTGAGCGTAAACCCCCTGAGTGATTTTTTTTGGGGGGGTTGTTTGTTTTTGTAAACATAATTCTTTATTGATTCTTTGGCAGTTTAACATCATGCACCCCAATTCCACTTAACTCCCAGTCCCTCCATATCCTCCCCAACCCCTGCATCATCGTCACCAAGGGAACACCTCCCAAAACAATCTAAACAAACAAACAACTAAACACCTCTGTCCTCTTTTCATCACCTCTTCATTCATCATGTGTGCTGTGGTATGTCATATATATATCCTTTTGTCCAATTGGCCCCATCCACAAAATGTTCACTGCAGTGAGTCATTGTTTTGGTGCAAAGCCTCTGTGACACCATTATCACTGGACACCCTCACCAGAACTCCTCAGATATCCTGCTATTGCCCCAAGTTATGGGGATTCTGCAGTTATTGTCCTGAACCACCAGTCCCTTCATGCACTCCAGTAGGTCATAGGTGGAGTAGATGTCCAGGATGTGGGTCTAGGTGGTAGCTAAGCTTGTTGGTTCAGGGCCACTGGGACCCCTGGGCCACTGGGACCACCCCCTTCAGGCAAGGGATAGAGTCAGCTCTCCTAGGCTCATGCCACTGGGGCCAGTTCTCCTGCTGTAGTGTCTAGTCAGTGGCATGGCCAGCTTTTCCAGGGCCAGTGAGGGGTGGGCTGGCTCAGCACGGCCCTTGGATTTCAACATGCATGGTTCCTATGCCCCCTGTGGCAACACAGGCCATGAATATCACAGACCCCAGCTATAGCAGGAACATGGACATAGACATGGCCTTCAGCAGAAGCTCGGGCTTGGGTGTCACCATGGCCCTGGTAGCAGTACAGGCCACCCAGATCAGTATGGTGGCCCTGGAGGCAGCAAGGCCCTAAGCACCCATACGGTTCCCTGAGTGGCTTTGTAAAGTACATATTTAGCCTAGCATGGTAGTGCATATTTATAATCCCAACACTTAGGCATCTGAGACAGAGAGGTCACAAGTTCAAGGCCAATATGAACTTGTCTCAAAAAGGGGAAAAAAATAAAATAGGTATTTAGTAGCCAGAATTTTGTAGGGCAGAGAAATACCATCACTGTACCTTCACAGTAGAAGACTTTGCTGCTGAAATAGTTTCCTGCTGTTCTTTCTAAGCTAGCTAGATAATTTTTTAAAGATTTATTTTTATATGCGTGTCTTACCTGTGTATCTGTATTGCATATGAGCTGGTCCCTGAGAAGGCCAGAGAGAGTGTTGGGTCTCTAGGAACTGGAGTTAGTTTTCAGCTGCCAGGTAGATGATACTAGGAGTACATATATATCACTGTAGCTGTAAAAGTACATCAAGAAAATAGTGATTTGCCAAGACAGATTAAAGATTTGGATTTGGCAAAGAGCCTGGCAGTCCATTTATTAAAAAGTGCCTGAAGTGTGTGAGGAGCCCTAAGGAAAGACAAAAACCCTTCTCAGACCTGATTACCTAAAGATGTAGCTCACGCTTTTCCCCCTCCTCTTACAGACCAGTTCCTCTCCCCACTCTGGAGTGTCCAGGCAGGTTCGGATCAAGCCTTCCCAGTCTGCAGGGGATATAAATACCATCTACCAAGCTCCTGAGCCCAGAAGCAGGCACCTCTCTGTCAGTGAGTATTTCTCTTTTTTTTTCCCCTGTCCTAGTATATATGACGTGCTCACATTTAAAATATTCAACTATTAAAAGATCATCAAATATTCATTGACTATCACTATGCAAATTAGTGTGCTATGGTTTTATTTGGGGGAGAGAAGACGTGAAAATGACTCTTGAGGACCTGAAGTAGATAACTTGTGAAGCACAAGATTCACGGGACGGGCTCAAATATAAATTAATATAATTTTATTCTGGGAGAAATCACTTACACACGATGCAGATGACCGCCACAAGTCTCTGCTCCAAGGATCCACACCAGCTGCCCTCCATGATCTGATCTGCTCTGTTCCCGGGCCCGGACCAAATCCACATGCTCACCTATGCACCTGTGACCATGGCCAACTGTTGTTCAGTGCCACAGGTGTGGCTGGGTGGGTCTCTCGCTACAATTCCCCTTTTAGTCTAAAGAAAAAGATTTAGGCTTGATACAAAACTATATACAAAGACAGCAAATATCAAGTATGCTCTAGGAAAAGGAAAATGTAAGAAACACTTAAATCCTATCACTGTAAAGTGGCAAGAACAAAATGGGAAGAGCTACTATCCAGTCTTAGGGTGAAGCATAATAGAGATTACTATAGAGTTGTCCTAAGCTGGAGAGTGTAAGTCTTGTACCTAATTTTTCTATCTAGGAAGAGAGAGCAATAATTGTGATAGTCTAATCTTCAACCTCATCAAAGACCAGAGAAGGAAGATAACAATGCTAGTAGGCAGGAAGTGCAGGCAAGTAGCTTCCAAAAGGTGCATTGAAGACAGAAACATCAGGCTACCTGGACAGTCACCTACAGTTTCACAGCAATATCAGAGCAACCAGCTTTGGCTAAGGCCTAGAGTATCTGACTGACCAACACAGAGGCAGGGAGGTTGAAAGGCTGTCTTACCCTGACTTGGCAGGGTTCAGCAGTCTTCTAAGTTTATCTCCTGCAAGCACAGTAGGACAGCATGTCCAAAGTCAGAGGTCAAGGTGGGGGCAGTTCTTTGCCCAAGAGGCCATTAGCTGAGGAGAGAATGGAATCCAGAAGGAGTGACATCAGTGCCCAACATTTTCTCAGGAATAGCTTGGTGTTGTCAGGAGCAAATGTGTCTCATGTCAACAGGGTACTAGTATTGAAACATTTAAATGCCATATTCTGCAGGTCTATGAAGTGTTTGAAGATCAAAATCTATGTTTGACTAATCTCATAGGTATAAGAAATATGGGTGACCAGGCGTTGGTGGCACATGCCTTTAATCCTAGCACTCTGGAGGCAGAGGCAGGCAGACATGTGTGAGTTCAAGGCCAGCCTGGTCTACAGACTGAGTCCCAGGACAGGCTCGAAAACAATACAGAGAAACCCTGTCTCAAAAACCGATAGATAGATAGATAGATAGATAGATAGATAGATAGATAGATAGATAGGGGTGAAAATATCTCTAATTCTTGGGGACATATTTGTACAATGTCAGAAGATTCCAAACTAATCTAGCAAGGACAAAAACTTTAAAAAAAAAAAAAAAAAAGTAACTTTCTCACTAACAGAGATAGAACTGAAATGTCCTGACTAGAGGTAGAACTGTAAAGTACAAAATGATAATATCCTAAGTTGCATCAATATACAAAATGCATATACATCCAGATAGTTTTATATTTGTGTGCAAAACATCATAAGCAGAAAGAAGACCCTAAACAGTCAACATACAGGAATCTAACAAAAGGATCTAGCAATTTAAGTTATTTATAGCTAACAGTTGCTAAAGTTAGTACACTAGAAATTATGTACATCTCCCTATATCACATCCTAACCATACCCTTCCCAGCCACACCCTAAACTTATCTAAAAGAGATACCGGAGTCTGAATATCACCTTCTATACCAAATCCTAAACAACTAAAAACCAACCCTATGTAGGTGTCTATTATCTCTTAATACCAACAATAGGGAAAGGGGGCATTGTTTTCTTCCCTTCCTTACTTTATAATTTTTTAAAATTTAAATTTGAAGCAATCTTGTTTTAGATGTCAATCCCAGTCCCTGCACCTTCCTGTCCTCCCCTGCCCCCCCCCTGCAGACCCTGAACTCAGTCTGGGAAGGTATGGACCTTGTTCCTGCTGCTCAGTCTCTCTCTCTGTGAGTGCTGTTCTTCTTGAGAGAGTATCAAGAAAAAAAAAATGGGTTACTGAGGCACTGACATTGCCCTTATGAGTAATTTCTGGAACTCAAGCACTCAGTAATGTTTTTAAGCTGCATATAAGTGACTTTCAGATTTTTAAATAATTGGTGGGCATGTTTTCATAAGTAGTTAAAGAGAAAAAGGCAGGATCCAGCAAAGATCCTGTGCAGAATGTCCTAAAAATCTGAATGCCTAGAACCTAAGAAATTTCCACCTTGGCCTATTTTATTTTTATGTATTATGTGTAAGTTCCTGCATGTATGTGCAGCATGTGTTTGCCTAGTGCCCTCAGGGGCCAGAAAAGGGCATTAGACCTCCTGGAAATAAAGTTGGTGCAAGCCCTTAATCCCAGCACTCAGGCAGAGGTAGGAGGATCTCTGTGAGTTTGAAACCAGTCTAGTGTAGCTTTGAAGCCAGAGTGAGAGTTCCAGATCAGATTCCAAAGCTACAGAGAAACCCTGTCTGAAAAACAGCAACAACGAACAACACAGTTATAAATTAGAGAGATCTGCCTGTTTCTGCCTCTCTAGTACCAGGATTAAAGATGTGCGCCACCACCGCCCACCTTTTTTGTTGTTGTTTGTTTGGTTGGTTTGGTTTTTGTTTTGTTTTGTTTGTTTGAGATAGGGTTTCTCTGTATAACCCTAACTGTGCTAGAGCTCCCTCTGTAGACCAGAGATACCCCTGCTTCTGTCTCCTTGGTGCTGGGATTAAAGATGTATACTAACATACCTGGCTTAAATTTCAGTTTTTAAATTAGAATAATACATAAGAAATAATAAATAAGAAATACAATACAATTTTCAATATATTTATAAGACATTTTATCAAGAAAATAAAAGCAATACAAGTTATTGGAGAAGCTGGATGTTGGAGTGAAAAGTCATTAGGTTTTTAAGTAATGATGAAGTAAGTAATGATGAAGTAATGATGATTAGGTACAGATGGCATATTCAGATTTGCATTGTCAAAGACTGTTCTGGCTGAAGTGTGAAGGAAAGACTGGATCCTGAAAAACACGTTACAATGTGGTAGTGTAGGTGAAAGAAGACAGATGCTTTGGTCAGTCTGGGAGCAATGGGAGACAAGGAACAGGTGGGTCTGAGACATCTGGAGATAAACATGATAGAACATGGCATTCCAGTGGTTTTCTTAATATACTACGGGGAATTGGGCGTTCTTAAGATCCTTTAGGGCTTCTGGCAAGACTTTTTATAATCACCCTAAAACATGAAACTCATCCTATTACAAGCATACAGCAGTTTTTTTTTTCAGGGGTTATGCATGTGAGGTAGTGTCTTGTGTGTGTGTGTGTGTGTGGAGGGGTTTCATGTGTCCCAGGCTAGTCTCAAATGGAGCTAAGGATGATCTTGAACTTCTGATCCTTCTGCTTTCGACTCCCTAGTGCTGAGATTACAAGCATGTACCACCATGCCTGGTTTATTTGGAGCTGGGAATAGAAACCAGTGCTTTATTCATGCTAGGCAATTATTCCATCAGCTGAACTACCTCTCCATTGTCACATCTGGAAACACCTGAGCTTGGCTGCCTAGATGGTACTTCAGTTAAGAACTCTGGCTGCTCTTCAGAGGACCTTGGTTCAATTCCCAGTACCCACATGAAGGTTCACAATTGCCTGTAACTGTAGTCCCAAGGGATCCGACACCACTCCCTTTTCTGGCCTCCATGGGCACTGCATGCACACAGTGCACAGACATACATTCAAGCAAACACCTCAAAAACAAAAAGAATTTTTAGAAAAGTAGTAGGGTGCCTGGAAAGATGGGTCAGTGGTTAAGAGAGCTTGTTGCCCTAGCAGAGGACCCGCATTATGACTCATAACCATCCATAAACTCCAGTTCTAGAGGAGCTGACCCCCTCTTCTGGTATCCACAGACACCAATCATGCACATGATACACAGACATCAATGCAGAAAACACTCATCATATAAAATAAGATTTATAAAAAATCTGAGTTTTAATTTCTAATTTTGTTACTATTAATTTGAGGTTCAGGAAACAGTATACCCAAGTGTGGTTCTTTGGCTACTAAGTACTTTGAATTGAAGAACATTGAAGGGTCTCAGGATCAGTGTATTTCAGAATTGATTTTTGTCCTGTATCCTGCTCCACTCTCTCCCCAATGCAGGCCATAGAATAAAATCCTCCTTTTCCTCTATGGGTCATGCAAAGTTGAGAACCCTCTCTCTTAAAACTAGTCTTAAAACCTAGAAATACTATCCTAATACCAACTTTTATGTAAGCGCTAGTCATAAAGATATTCTCTGAAGACCCTCATCCTAGAATGGGTGCTACCCTGCACATGATGGAAGACCCCATATAGTGAGGCCGAGAAGAACCTTGGCAGGCCTTGATGAGTCTCCCCTCAGATCTGTTATATTAGGTACACCTTTTTGTCTAACCACATTGTCACATTGAATATAAAAATAGTTTTCCCTGGGTCTTTCAGTCTTTATGCTGGAGGCCTTTGTGTCATATAAATCAGTAAGTTGATTTTCCTCTAGTTATTTTGAGTGTATGTTGTACCCCTTTGAGTAGTAGGCAAAAGTAGCATATTGTTTCTTCCCTGCAGTTTAACCTACATACATCAAATTCTTAAATATCCTCAGTTTTAAAATGCTGAAGGAGTTCTAATACTAAAAGGCTAGAGCTGCTGTAGCACGAATTCTCTTTGGTCTTAATAATAAAACACAGAGTCAGCTATTGAGGTGAAAGCTAAATGGTCAGAGAAGCAAAGCAGCCAGTTACTAGAGTTCTTAACTTGTCCAATGCTCAGACCAAA